ACTATGTCTTGGACCCCTAAAACTATAGATTAACGTCAAAGCTGGCAAGATAGTAACTGTGTTGGTGGAAGAAAGAAGCTAATTAAAACCCTTTTTTCTGTTAATGTTTTTTAAAGCCTATGGCAATTATTTATTGGTTCTCTATGAAACAAACAATGCCTGTCAAAAACACAAGCTACCGCAGACGCAGTGCTTCACTGGCACTTACAAGGTTACTTACAACATTCCTGGTGTAGGTGTAGTCTGCATTTTGTACACTGGTGTACTAACCAGGAGGAGGCAGGGTGGCCACTCCAGGTGGAAGGCGGCAGTTAAGGGACAGAGTGCCCTAGTTGCACCAGAGCAGGCTCTGCTGATGTAATGCTAGCAGCTGTGGAGTGGCCGGGAAGGGAGCTTGCTGCTTGCATGGCTCCCTTGCGCACCATGTACTGATGAGCCGGGGGGCATTCCCATCCCACTCATGACATGAGTAGGGATTTGAAGGGCTCACTGGGAGTTGTACAGAGGTGCACAAAGAGATCCCAGCATTTCCCCATAGGACCCCAAGGATGAGGTTCCACTCATGCACTGCCAGCAAAGGTAAGAAAAGGTGAGACTAGGCGGACCTTGAACAATAATAATTAGATAAATAATTGGGGGGGGATCTATATTTACTGGAAAAGGACCTCATAATTGAGCCTTATTGAAGTGCCATTTTTTTTTTACCATTCTTTTCAAAGTTATTGGTATATTTTTTTTTTTTTTTACATTAACATTGTATTTTTTCTACTTATTTTAAATCTTTTGTGTCCCAATGTAGTAAAATTACCTTAAAGGGACACTATATTCACCAAAACAACATTAGTTTAATGAAGCAATTTTAGTGTAACGATCATTCCCCTGCTCTCTCACTGCTACATTCTCTGCCATTTAGGAGTTAAATCACTGTTTTTACAGCCCTAGTCACACCTCCCTGCATGTGACTTGCACAGCCTTCCTAAACACTTCCTGTAAAGAGTTTGATAATGTTTACACTTCCTCTATTGCAAATTCTATTTAGAATTTCTTATCTTCTGCATTGTCAATAGCTTACTGGACCCTGCAGGAGCCTTCTGTGTGTGATTAAAGTTCAATTTATAGATCAGGAGTCAAGAACTTTTAAAGTAAGTTACATCTGATTGAAAATGAAAGCATTTTGTTTTCATGCAGGCTGTGTGAGTCACAGACAGGGGAGGTGTGGCTAGGGCTGCATAAAATGAAACAAAAATGATTTAACTCCTAAATGGCAGAGTATTGAACACTGAAATTTCAGAGGCATGAACTATACACAGAAACTGCTTCAATTTGTGCTGTCGCTTTGTACTAGAATGTAATTAGTTTACCCACCACTGTGACATGTTAAAAGAGCTAAACTGGCTATCGCTGGAATGCCGACACACTCTTCATCTTTCCAGCCTTGTGCATAAGAGCATTTCTGGTAAACTCCCACCCTACCTGAGTAGAATGTTCTCCCTGGCTGTTCCCACCTCCTATAACCTCCGATCCAGTACTAGCACGATATTTACAGAGCACCGCAATTATGGAATAACTTCAGGGTCAAATCTTCATTCAATCTAAAATCTAAGAGATCTATGGCAATATACCTTAGCACAGAATGCACCTGTCATGGTTGAATATATGTATTACCATATGCAATATCAAAATTCAAATTAAAAATAATTTGAATAGTCAATCGCGCCTAGAGTAGCCTTTGGGCTTATCACCTATGGTGTTCAAATATAGAATACTATAAATACCACTTGTTGATTTATATATTTATTTTATTAATAATTTAATTTTTAATATTAATATTTAATATTATTAATATGGTGGTGGTGTATATATAAAAAAAGTGTGCTGGTATCCCAATGCAGCTCTTAATGGGAAATATCCTTAGTATTTCCTATATATAAAATATTAGTACCCAAAAACAGAAAAGAGCGCAGAGGGACAAATAGCTTTAAGTAAAAAAAAATCATTTATTCTGAATAAAATACAAGCAAGTTAAAAAATTTTAAGAAAAAATACATATTTAATGCTTCTAAAAGCTTAAATAGAAAAGAGAAAAAAAGAAAAAAAAAACCCAAAAGACAAAAAGCTTGAATGTCTATCTCACATTAAGCAAATATCTAAAGTCTTAAAGTGGATAAAAATTCAGAGATGTAATCCAACCCGTTTGTTTGTAGTATATTCTATCTAAAGGATCCCTTTAGATGCTACAAGGTAAGCTGAAAGATTGAAACAGTCTCAGGAATCCTCCTGTGTAGTGTGGCTGCTTACTGTACTTGTGCTGAAAATGGATCCTGTGTAGTGTGCTCGTCTCCCTGCTTCAAACTTCTCTCCGGTTTGTGTGCGTAGATTGAAACTGGAGGATGGTGATCCAGGCACTCAGATCGTCCTAGGACATGATGGTATCAGTGTTCGCTGTGTTCTCACTCCTACATGTTTCGTGAGCTCTGCGCTCACTTCCGCAGGGAGACTCTGTTGAACACCTCATGAATGGGGCTTCTTTTATGTGCATTCGAAATTGCCTAATTGGTACAAAGGAGCCTGGTTAAGTTGTCTAAAGATACTGGCTCCATATATGTTTGATGGTTTATTTACCTCTTATGTTATTAACAAAAATGAGTATACTAAAAGTAAAAAGAAGTATTTTGCAAAAATTGGAGATTATTTATTAAAATCTTTTTTAAAAATATATATATCTGAAAGGCTACCTATATTTGAAAGATATGAAGTAAATTTTATATGTGAATATAGTTACCATATAAACTATGGAACTTAGGTAATGAATAAAAAAGATAAAGATATAGATGTATCTTTTTAACTTTAGTATCTATTTATGATTTGTTACATGATGTATATATAATGATAGGTGTTCTCCAGTAGATGGAGCACTGTGAATGAAATAAAAAATATAAATAAATGAAAAAGATAAAATAAAAAAACAAAACCTGAAAAGGTAGGGTAGAATAGAGGAAGAAAAAAATGTGAGTAGTATATAGAGGGTTTAATGCCCGTACTTGTACGTTTAGATAGAAGGGATATCTGAAATTGGGATAAAGATACATGCCCAGACAGAACCAGTTATGGCACCTGAGGTTCCTAGTTGGTCCCCCATTCAAATACTAACCAGGCCCGAGTCTGGATGGCTTCTGAGATCTGACGAGATCAGGCACTTTCAGACTGGTATGGCCATAGGTATATGTCGGAATGGGTCGGGATGAAACCTAAAACGCCGCTATATCTAGCTATTAGTTTAATCCCCCATTTTCTGGTGTCCCTAATTTAAAAATCCAAAAAGTTTCTCGTCTTGAGATTTTAAATCTATTCCCACCTCTTTTTGTGGGTGGAATAGCTTCAATCCCTTTAACCTTCTTTTGGATCACTGTTGTGTTTCTCCAGAAAGTGTAGCGGAACTCCATGGTTTATACATTTCTTTTTGATCGAACGTACATGTTCATATATTCTCATTTTCAACTTTCTACATGTTCTGCCCACATATTTTTTACCACATGTGCATTCCAAAAGGCAGATGACGTGGGTAGTGTTACAGTTAATAAATTGTTGGATTGCATATTTCTTCTTTTCATCGTTATGTTTGGAGGAGAAAGACTTGTTATCTTTTTGTTTAATATGTGGACAGGTAATGCAGTTTTTCCTTCCGCACCTAAATTCCTGTTTTGTTTTTGGTTATTTTGTTTTTATTTTAACCAAACTTGGGGCAATTATGTTTTTGATTGTTTGGTTCTTTCTGAACACTACTTTTGGTCGTGTGTTGTCCAAAAAACCCATTTATTTGTCCTAGGTGATGATGGGCCAGTGTTTCCATATGATTCTCTTAATATCATTTGCTGCTAAGTTATAGGTTGTCACAAATATGGGAAGGGTTCTATCTTTGTTTCTCCGAAGTCCATCATCTCTCTTTCCTCTTGGTGTTGAGATTAGTTCCTCTCTATTCATATTGTGAACTTCTTGTTGTACCTTTTTCAGAAGTTGAGGAATATAGGGTTCTGAAATTTCTCTTTCAATTCCTGAGGTCTACTACAATTTATTTTTACCCTCATGTATTGACTCTTTGGAATGTTGTTAATCCATCCTGGTTTGTGGGCACTCCTAGCATCCAAGAACCCATTCTTGTCAACTTCCTTTCGATGGTTGCTTGTTTGGAGTATCCCATTATCATCTATAAAGATATTTAAATCCAGAAATGTGATGTTGGTTTTACTGGCCACATGAGTGAATTTGAGGTCCATACTGTTGGCATTGGCATGGTTATTATTTATATAGCGCCATCAGATTCCGTAGCGCTGTACAATAAGTGGACTAACAGACATGTAATTGTAACCAGACAACTGGACATACAGGAACACAGAGGTGGTGGGCCCTGCTCAATGAGCTTACATTCTAGAGGGAGTGGGATCTAGTGACACAAAAGGTAAAAAAAAGTAGGTGCACGAAATAGGTTGTTAGAAAAGTATTCACTGAGGGCTTAGTAGGTAATTTTTGACAGTTGCAGGAGAGGAGTCATGGGAGTGGAGGATAAAAACCTGCTTAACTGATATGCTTTCTTGAAGAAGTGAGTTTTCAATGATTTTTTGAATGAGTGGAGACTGGGTGAAAGTCTTACAGAGAAGGGAAGGGAGTTCCACAGAAGAGGTGGAGCCCTGGAGAAATATTGGAGGTGAGCAGGAGAGGTGGGAGTACGGACAGAGGATAGACGTAGGTCTTTGGCAGAGTGTAGGGGCCTCGACGGGAAATAAATATAATGTCATCTATAAATCTTTTGTAAAAACATATATAATCAAGGAATGGATTGTTTCTCCAAATAAATTATCTCTCCCACCATCCCGTGGTTAGGTTCGCATATGAGGGTGCTAATTTTGTGTTCTAACACAAAACTAATACAGTCCAGTATGAAACGTTGTTGTTCTTCTTTGAATTCGTTGAATGGATGTAGGAAGTGTTTCACTGCTTCTCTACCGATATGTTGAGGAATGCTGTTGTATAAAGAGGTAACATCCAAACTGACGAGAAAGCAGTCCACTGTCCATTCGATATTGGAGAGGAATTGAAGCATATGAGTCGTGTCTTTCAAATATGAATCAAGATGTGTAACCATATGTTGTAAGAAGAAGTTGACATGAACGGAACTATTACTGGTTAATGATGCTATTTCAGATATAATCGGGTGACCTGGAGGGTTCTTTTGATCTTTATGAATTTTAGGCAGATGGTAGAAAATTGCCGTTACTGGATGCTCTTGGTACAGGAAGTAGAATTCATCTTGATTCAAGACCCCTTCCTTTAATAATGAAAGCAGGTCGTTCTTATATTCCTGAGTTGGATCTCTTTCCAATTTTCTATAGGTTGTGGAGTCTTCCAGTTACCTGTATGCCTCTTTCTTATAGTCTTCCATATTCTGTATGACTATAGCTCCTCCTTTGTCTGCTTCTCTAATTTGAATCGTTATATTATATTTTTTAAAGCGTTCAATGCTTTTCTCTCCTTAAAAGTGAGATTGGATTTTCTTGTTCTTAGTTGTTGTTGGGTAGATAGGTGTTTAATATCTTTAAGTACCAGTTCATTATATACCCTGATGTACTCCCCTTGTTCATGACTCGGATAAAACAAGGAGGTTGGTTTAAATGATGAATGTATAGTGTCAATTTGTTTTTCCCGTGAGTACTGTTCTTCTTGGATCAATTCTAATATTCGGATTGCTTCTGTCTTCCATAGAGATCCTTGAAGTTCGACCAAAGTTCATTTTCTCCCGCCCCCACCCACTTGTGGCTAAATTCCATTTGTTAAAATACCTATGTAATGTAAGTTTACGGATGAATATTTGTATGTCTATGAAGATTTTAAAGTGATTCGGTGGCTGTGTGGGTGTAAGTTTTACCCCATATTTTAGTATCTGTTCTTCTTGTGTAAGAATGTAGTCTAAAATGTTGATATTTGAATCTATTGCTCCAATCTTGCATGCGGTTTCCTTGTTTTCTAGGTTTCTTTTTGCTCATTGATTGATCTGTATTTTCTCGTTCTGCTTGGATACTATTTCCTGACCTTCCACATCCCTCCAATGAGTGTGCTGTCTGCTTGTTTTCCTCCGCTGTCTCCCTAAAAAAACAGAACTGTAGTGCTCAGATTCCATCTCTGTATTTCCTGAAGGATTTTGTTTTTGGATATGCCCCCTCATCTATATAGTATCCTATTGGGTTTTTATGTTTCTCCTTTTAGATCTCTATTTTCTCTGTGTATATATTTTTGATGATTAACCCTCCCAGTTTCTACAGCTCCTTTGTTGTTCTTCTGGGTTCTTTGGGGGTTATGTCTGAAGTTACTGTTGTCAGATTTTTCTTCATCAGTCCACTTTGAGTTCCTTCTTAAGTAGCAGGCTGATTTTTTCACATTTGGTTTGGGGACAAATCTTCTACCGTAATTGTAATCTTCTTGATCTCTTTTAAATTTACTTTGTTTCCTTAAATTAATTTCTTTTTCTAATTTTCCCATTCTGTCCCTCACTTTGTCCTTTATTTCAGTGCATCTAGAGTCCTCTTTATGTATATCCAGTTTTTCTTGTAGATCCTCTATCTTTTGTTGGTATAGCTTGGTTTTGTTCTCTCTGTATTTGATAAGAATTTTTATAAATGTTTTGGAGCTCTTGAGCTTCATCCCACTCTGTTTGATCTTCTATCTCCTCTCCTCTAATCACACCTAGAGTAAATCTAAAAATATATTTATTACCTGTTATGTATTAAAGTTATATATGTGTGTATGTGTGTGTGTGTGTGTGTGTGTGTGTATATATATATATATATATATACATATATATATATATATATATATATATGGGAAGGCGGAGCCTGGAGTTGTGGGAGGGGATGATCCGGCCTATATATACTCAAACCTACCTCTATACTGGGCTACCTCTGTACTGGGCTTCCAGTTTCACCAGAAGAATCTCCTCGTGCAGAATTCCAAACGCAGCTACAATCAGGACACTATCAGGCAATCCAGCAGGCCCTCGCACCGCAGACCGCTAACTTCATCATCAGACTAACGAAAACAGGCACTTCCAGCGCCTCTCAGCTTTCGGTGCATCATACTGTGTTTGCGACAGTACTTCCGGGGCACCTACCCAGACTTCCAGGTCAGCCAACAGGCACCCGGCAACCGTGAGTTAAACAAACGAACACAGTAAGTTACCGAACGGGGAACCCACGCGCCTGTACGCACTCATTCACATAAAACTAGCTTTTACCTGAACGGAAGTACGTACACAAGAAATAAGACACGAACCTTCCTCTCCCAGCACATACACTGTTCATTCAAACGAATGTAGCCACTTACTCTCACCAAAACGAAACGAACAGATCCAGGTCGGTTATTCAGACGGACGATCTGTCAAATCTGCACAATACCAACTGCCATCTATGGTTCAAACGGCCAAATTACACATAAAAAACTCTTCCAACTTTAAGGAAAATTTCACATGGGCTGCACAAATTCACAGGCTTAAAAGTACTGAACACAGGACAAAAGAACTGGTTTCCCTCATTTATGTGTTCCTATGTATTAAATAATCGCATGTTATACGTGTTTACAATTTATACTTATAAAACTGCAAAAGAGTTCTTAATAAGCAGGATTCATATGTTCGGTCAGTTATAACCCCTAAACACAGTAACAGATAATAGGCTTAACCAAGTTGTTCTGTTACTGTAAGGATTCTTGGGTAACAAGCAGGGATACCATTTATTATCCAAACTATGCTCACACGGTCATTATGTATTCCAGAATTCAGAGCAATACTCCCCTAAATAACATCTTGTCATTGCGAATTTCAGTTACATATGGTACGTTAAATAATTAGTACAGTTCTATACAGTGGGTAGGGGGTGCTTGGAAGTCACAATATATCCTGGTTAGGCATGTTAAACAAATAAGGTTAGGATCGGTAACAAAGAGTAATACATAGAATTAACTATGTAGTAAACGCAGGAAAGCACTAATCATGATCATTCAAATCTATTCCAGTCAGAACCCCATCAGCTAAATATCCATAGTAACGGTTACTATCGCTTAGCCGACTACGTCTTCAGCTCACAAGTACAAACTAGTAAGTTATAAAACTTCCCAATCAATATCTCTTGTCAACGCATAACATACTACACCATTACAGTAACCGGCATAAGCAGAAAGCCGAAGACAGTCATACACACTCTCAGACATTAACCACATAATTAATTTCCTAAAACATCATAGACATATCACAAACAAACGCTAGATTTAAGATTATGCTAATAACCACACAAACATACGAGAAGACCATCACTGGGCACTCTACAAATACGAACAATCATTTACCTTAATAAACATTTACCTTAATAAAGCTAAAGTCACGCTTAGCACAACTGAAATTAAATAAGAGTCACTTCATTCCCTTAATCTGTTAGATTCAGCAGTAATCGACCATACCGGCCACCCCCTTAGAGGACCAACAGTTGATTCCGGTACGTATCACTTAAATTAATCTAAAAGCACACACAACCATAGAGAAGTTACCAACCATAATCTTGGTCCACAGGTGGTACACATCTTTAAACTCAGGAATCCTGCGACTGATAAGATCCCCTTTCTAAAACTATCAGGTATGTTGTATCCAACATGCCACTAACCCCAAGCAGCGTTATACTGGCAGATAGGGTTCTTGAACAGGCCATACACAGGCAAGACATTGGAATCCGCGAGACCAACACCCATCCTCACATAGAGGTTTGCCAGCCCAAACGGTCCAAATCATAGTTATTGTCTTGAACTGCTCTACTCAAGAGCTCCAGTTAGAATGTTACTTCTCTCTGTCACTATATACATAATAAGTCCCCAGAGGCCTACACCCCGCCTTCGCTCAAAGGCACAGCACTGGGCCAAATCATAGATAGCGCCTCTATCAGCCACTTGGCATCAGCAGGGCCTCACCATCCCAATAACAGTTAAATTCTTCGCCACCCGGCAATTAAAGAAGCTAGTTAATGCAAGTCATTATAACTATAGCAAGTAAAGACTCACGTGTTAATTTCATTTATAGTATGTCACACGCATTAGAACAAGCAGACGATTTCTCCCTACCCAGCATGCCAGCCAGACCTCCTACTCCAATTACGGCTCCTACAGCAGGAGAAAGTCAAGACCCCTTTAGTCCCTGTTTGTTAAGATCTTGGACAATCCCAAAGATCGCAGCAGAACTCAGGCGTAGGGGTATACCGTACCCTGCCACGGCCAGGAAAGCTGAATTGTACAGGATCATGATGACCAGGCCTGATAATCCACAGCCAGGGTCTAGCTCTCAAGAGCATATCATTGACACACTCACAGGGATTCAGACCACTATGACAGCAATACTCACCTTAATCAACAGCCTAAATCAAACAGTGGAGAAATTGGAAACTCCAGCACCAGCCAGTGTCCCCCCCCAATACCCTCCTACACAAGTCATCAACCAAACCAACCCACAGGGTAATGCCACAGGTACACAAAATGCACAGGGTGCGGATACACATATTATCACACCAGCACACATGGTACCACCCAACATCAAGAAAGATATTCTTGAGGGGAAAGACCTGAACCTTATGTCCTTGCTCATAGCATCACAGGATATACTGGAAAACAAAACCTACAGCAATGGGGACCTTAGTGCTCAAGGCCAAAGACCCTAGGATGTGGAAAAAACTGTCTATACCAGATTTTGTACTCGCATTTGGGTTATAAATTTTATATGAATTAACTTTCCACAATGTAGAGAGGAACTGGCCTTGTATATGCACAAGTTGGTAGATCTGGAAAACAAGTTCGGTGGGTCTAATTTTTATGACTACCACAAGTCTTTCTCAGCAAGGCAGCGACAAAATTTGCACAGTTTAACATAAAAATAGATTGGAGTTATATGGACACCGAGTTATTCTGTCGCCACTTTGCCGGGCTTGTACCATCTACACATCAATCTCGCACACTACCAACTTGTGCTCCACCAGCTATGCATTCCCTAGCACTAGCAGGACAGAACAGAAAGGCTTAAGGGATAAACTTGGTAGACCGATAGTGTTCTTGGGGAAAGCACAAGTGTGCAACAATTTTAATGTAGGAGGCTGCAGTTTCAGCTCACGCCAAGACCAGGTGCCCAAATCGCCTCTTCCCAAGGAAATGACTGACCGAAATTCAAGTTGACACCCTAGCCTTCTACCTAAGTGCACACCCCTCACAGGAGTTAGTACAATTTCTAGTCACAGGGTTCACAGAGGGTTTCCACACAGGATTGATCACACTTCCCACTGGCAC